ACTCATACGGCAAAAAAGTCTATTAACTGGAAGTTGACTTCTGACTACAAACTGCCACCACCCCCACTGTATGTCATAATCGACTTCTTCCACAGTACTCACCTCACCTTTTTTCTACCTTTATGTCTGTCTCTTTTACATCTTTGAAACACTCTTCTGTTCCTCCCCCCCCCTCTCACGACTTTTTTCACTTTGATGTTCCTTCCCCTCTGTGAGGCCTGAAGTCAACTAAAGGGCTAATGATAACTATCAAAATGCCTGCCATTTGAAATAAATAAATAATATGTATTTTATTGGATGAACTATTCGCTTTGAAAGAGTTCTGTCTACTCAGGTATTCGTTCTTAGTGGAAACAATGAACTAACATCAAATTTTAGCAAAACTGCAGTGCCAAATGTGGAAGTCACTCCACTTCCAAATCCTCTTCCCTTGGCCAACTCCTCTTCCAATGTCAAATAAGTTTGAACTATTTTGTGAAATTCAATAAAAATGTCATCCTAATGTACAACTGTGGCCTAAACACTGAGAATTGAATGGAACGCTTCAAAATGATCAAGCCAAGAAAATTCGATGGACAAAGCCTACCCACGTTTCTATTGTTATTTATAATGTTACATTGTCTGTTTTTTTGTTTCACACCACACAATCAATGGATGAAATTAAAATTTAGCATAATTTTTTCTACCGATTTCTAGTATGACTACATAGATCTATATTGGAGTATTCCTAGAGACCTAAAATTGTCGATTTCGAAAAAAGCAATCTGCTAAATACTCTTCTTTAACCAGAAGGAACTCGGATTTGCAAGGCTAACACAGCATTTTGTTCGAATAATAGCCCGACTAACTGTAAACAACCTTATATCAAGAGAAAAACAGATTGCATCTTACACAAAAGTGATGAAAATTGGAGACCAAAGCGAAGTAAGCTTAGATCAGTGAGATGAAATTGTTGGGAATGAAACCGATTCACGGTTAGAGAAAGTCAAAGTTTAATGGCTGAATCACAATGAATTCAGATCTCTTAAAAGTTTTGAGTATACTGGATATGTCCATGAATTTGGACATTCATCTATTGTATTCTAATAAACCGAATTTCAAGTATTTCAAACAGAAGTCAAATTTCTGACATCCAGGTCTTGTAGATTACGAGGTTATGTTTCAATATTATTGAACACGTTTCAAACCTATCAGCGCAAATGAAATTGATTCCCTTGGTCGTATTCAATGTTTTGGATTGAAAGCTCTTAATTCAGCACTAGTGGACTATGCACCCTTCGATTTTCACAGTGTTGAATATTAAATTTTCTTGTGCTTGTGAATTTTTAATGAGACTTGTTTAGAATATTTGAAAGTTGACTCCAAAGTGAGTGATTCGAAGCACACTTTACATTGATTTCGATGAGCATAGAAGTTTATTTTACTTACTTTATTAGTATTCAACATCGGTTTTATTTCCATCTTCATAGCCATCGATCGATTCAAGACTTTTCTCAAACCTTTTAATGGTCATCTCAATCGCTGTCCTAATTACGTGAATTCACAATTCGCCTGAAGCTAAAAATAAAACCTCTACACGTCTACCTCCACACCCTCCCCTCTCCCTATTTACCTACACATACACATAAGCTCAAGTTCTGTCCTCCCCACCTCACCCATTAATCCTCTAGTTAATGCGCACTCCCACCCACGCACTCGTTACGTCCGCATGTGCTCACCTCACCTTACTCCCAACCAATGAGCATACTGGGAGAGTAAACAGCTGATAAATGAACGCTTACATTGGTATTAGCGACGTCAGAGATATTCGTCTTTACGACAACGATAGGACAGTCCAGCTTGACGCATCAACACAGATAGAGTGCGTGTGTACAACATAACAAAGGGCAGGAGATTCTCGAATGGACAGTGGTATTGATATGCGAGAGGTGTCGCATTCAGCCTCTCCGTGTTCCTCACGTGTGGAGGTCTATTCCACTGATTCTGGGTCAGCATCCGGTGCCGAATCCACAGAGTCATCGGGATCTTCAAATGAGCGGAGAAGTGATTCCACATCGAACACACAGACATCTGGTCAAAGCACTTCCAGGAATGCCCCAACGGGAATCAATGCTCTCAAGCTTTTTATCGGACAGATTCCCAGATTTATGAATGAAGCTGATATCAGACCAATGTTTGAGGAATTTGGACCCATTTCTGACATTTTAGTGCTAAGGGACAAACTAACTGGAATTCATAAAGGTACGTCAATTATATTAATATGGGTTGTCCAATCCACATATTTTATTTAAAATATCGCCTTCCAAACATTCTACTAAGAAATCTGCTTTGTAGTTTGTCCCGTTTTGAGTCAAAAAGTTAAAACATTCTACTTAAAAGATAAATGGCTATTGATTGACATTCCGGGCAGGAGTACACTTTTGCTATTGGCGCATGTATTAATGTAAAATTAAGAAAATAAAGTTCCAATAAATATTTTATGCGGAAATTTATTTAAAGCGGGTTGTTTTTTGTGTTTAACAGAGTTTGGAAAACCTATAATCTGAAAGTAACATCTCTAACAATGTCACTTTTGTAAGTACAAAGATGCCAATTATTTCCTATCACTTCTATACAGAGTACTAATTCTGGTTAACATTAATTATTTTGCCTTCATTAAACTGGAAAATTTCTATTTCTAGAGTTAATTTTAACTAAATAACAGAAGAAATGAAATTTCGATAACCTGACTGTAGGAATAGACGTAATCAGCATGATTAGACTCTCAGCTCATAAGTCGGTACAATAACAGCTAAGATTACTTTCTTTGTTTGGTTTATAAAGCATTAAAGATTTAATTAAAATTATTAAATCTTCGAGACAGTTTTGCGAAAAGAAAAGTACTTTTTATTTAAATTTCTGGAATTCAATTGTCAAAATCTAAATTGAGCCTATTGAGCACCAAGGGTTATTTCAATGCATAAAACGAAATCTGGATAGCAACAAATAAAAGGCACGCATTAACTATTTGATTAGATTAAAATATCTGATATCAGGTAATTTGCAACATTTTTGCGAATTACTAAAAAATCATGGTATTTACTCCCCAAAGAGCGAAAGTGAAAACTTTTTTTAATGTTTAAAGAGAGAGTGCAACGCGTACAACTTTCAAAATTGACTTTTACCTATTGCCACAGCAGCAAAAAATGGCTTTAATCCGATAAGGCGTTGTAACGCTGGAACGTGTGGGGGGGAAGGGGGGGTGAGTGAGGATTACTAGTATTTCTTATTTTAAGTTTTATCCCTCTGTGTTTGATGCTAATTAAGAGAAAATGGGTAAAGTGTAACAAAAATGCAAAAAAGTACCCTATTGTTTGAACAAGTGGCAAAACATAATTTTATCAAGAGATCACTGATTGAATATTCACTTTTCCAATAACTTAAGTGAGGCCATTAACTAATGGGAAATTATTGTGATTAGGTAATGTGTCACCTCATAGCATTATTTCATTTATTTTGATTCTCCTCAATTATGTGAGGGTTACTTAACAATCAATTTGGGAAATCCTTCTCCGATGAGAAACTCAGCCCCTACTTCGCATAATTGGCCAGCCCAAACAAATCCGTTTCCTTACTTCAATCTCAGACTTCACAGGCAGACGCTTAGTCAATGTCTTCATTCAAATGTTATTAAAATATTGTTAACAAATAAGATAAAATCGTAGATGCAAAGCTAAATGTCAAATAGTAAAAGATATCTAACCTGCTGAATTTTTGCATGCCTTTCAATTTTTTAAAGAACATTTTATTGATTTATCAAAACGGGCTTTTAAATCATTTTAAATCATTCATAAAACGCCGTTGAAGAATTCAGTGAAGGCGCCGCGTTACCGACTGTGAGTGCATATCGTTTTGATATGGTTTAAACAATTGTTTACATTTAATGTGGTGTTAATGATTGCAATTAAGTGAGAGTATTTAAGAGCCATTGTATATTAGCTGTGTCGCATGCTTTCAAGGTTGTAAGTGCATAGTCAATAGTGAACTTGATGGGGTGTGCAAGGTTTTCTATAGGACCTGACAGGTGGCACAACACTAGTATTACTCACTTTTCAAAATTCGAACACTCAATAAGAGTCATTTTGAACGATAGAGTATTTTAAAGCTCTTCAAAGAAGACCAATCCGATAAACTCGAAGTAGATGGTAATAGATCATGACTCCAAATATTTTGTTTTCAGAATCAGAATTAAGTTTTAAGGCATTACAGCCGGCTGATTTTTATTTTATTTGTTATCAAGACATTTTTATTAAAATTCTTTTATTTATTTAATTATTCGCTTCTTTAAGATCGGCACTAATTTTATTTTAAAAGAGCTAACTTCAATAGACCAAAAGTAAATTTTCGAGAAAAACTTCAAAATTACGAATCGAATAAGTTTGTCAAATAAATTCTTGACTTTCATATGATTTAAAGCATTAATTTAGAATTTCTTTGCTTTTAATAGATGAGTGCTATGATAAAGCTGCTTATCATCAACCGTAAATGTAAATGATTACTTTTTTGAATATTCAAAAATGTCCAAAAACATGAAATTGTTAAAATATTAGATAAGGGAAGATATTGATCAAAGCGCAGGAATAAAGTTTAGAGTTTTGTCTTATTTAAATAATTGAATTGCGGTATAATTTTTTTGGTAACCTAATAGAATTAGGCCCCCAACTTTCCAAGTATCTGAACACAAAATTTACAGATTCAGCAAACGGTTTCCAGTCAAATTGTACCAATCAGGCTATGAATATGGCAAAATCAACTTGAAATTTTGATATCCGCTTCAAGGAGATCATATTTCGAAATTAAAATCAAACGCTCGTTTTTCAAGCTGTCTTGAACACGCTTCTAATTTGCTTAAACTTTTCTAACAGATTCCTTAGAGTTTATTATTAATATTATTTGTATCGAGTTGTAAAAAGTGAAGTAGGAGAAATTTTAATGGATAGCGTTAATAGCGCCCATTCATTAAGGGTTAACTCAAAGGAATTTTTCCATGCATAATTAAAATAAAGCCGTATCTGAAATGCACCGTATAACAGAGCATGTAATTCATTCAAAACTCTCCAGTTTTTTGTAAATAATTTAACATATTTTGCATTTGAAATATGAGCAATGTCAAAAAAAGTGAAATGTGATTCAATAGTCAGTTCCTTCTTAGATTTCGAAAGTGTTTAACTCTACGCACTCCACGACTGACCAAACAGATAAATCCTCATTTGGTATGACTTCAGTAGCTCTATGCCACTCGCTCCAATTGTGATTAAATTTAAAGTTATAAATAAAGTTTGCCATTTAGAAGCTCTTTGTTCCAGTGCTGTCTTGTTACTTTGTGTTTACTTACTAAAATAGTTATAAAAATTCTTACAATTTTCTAAAGAAAATTTTGATTTTTTTTGTTTGAGTCAAGTAATTAATGATGCTTTCAGTAGTGGAACCGTGGTCTTAAAATCGATTCAAGACCATGGTGTTAACGTGGGCACCAACTGGTTTTCTGCTTAATTCCGTTGTTAAAGAAATCGAATTGTACATTTTTTATGGTAATGTCGAATCGTTTCACAAGCTTCTTAGAGCGAAGTGGGGCATTAGTTTAGTAGGAGGGAGATTTCAATAAAATAATGGTATAAAATTAGGATTTTAAGAGTTTTCCCATATTTTATCTATGTTTTCAATTGAAAGTATGATTTCAAATCTCAATTTTTTTCATTATTTTTGTGGCAATTTCATATTTGCAATGGCAAAGGCTTTCCATGTGAAGGGAAATGCCTCTAAAGCCTTTGCCAAATGAGGAAGTCAGTATTTTTTAAACTTCCCAGAGTCCAAATGAGCTATTTATACAAAAGTTGTCCATATTTAAGTCCTCCAAGTAGGTATATCCGTATTGATCTGGAAACTATTTTTTCAAAAGATTTACTCTCTGAATGTGATTTTTTCCTCTAATTTTAACATTTGCCTAAAAACTATGGCAAGTACTAATAAGGTAATTTCAGTGCGTTTCGAAATAAGCAAAATGGAAATTTCTCCTTTTCTTGTCCTTCACTTCAGTCTGTTTTAGATCCAATTTGATACCTGTCGGCAATTGCATCATTGATATAGTATTTCAAATGGCAGGCTTTGTGATATTTATCATTAGCCCCTTAGTTGACTTCAGTTTTCCCCATGGG